ACAGAGGTACTGGGGCTGCAGAGATACAGCCTGGGAATAGGCAAAGGCAGCAGGTCCTAACCCCTTGCCAACGATGAATGGCCATTACAGACTGCAGTCTGCCCCAGCGAGCGGGGGCTAGATAACGACTGGCAGTAGCCACTGAGGCAAGGTGGGTTTAAAGGGTTGGGGGTTGCCCTGGAAGGGGAGACCCAGAGCGTGGGGGTACTGTTGGGGCAGAACCCCGAGGTAAAGGGCACCGGGTTCTGGGAGGGACACGGGGCCAGTGGCAGGCGAGACACCAGCCTGCAGAGGGTGCTCCGGAGCTGGAGTTGAGCTAATTCCCAAGACGACCAGCAGGAGGCACTGCGCTGGTGAGTCTTTGCTCCGTTACACAGTCCCTGTTCATTAGGGGGCTTTTCTGGAGCAGGTTCACTGCTCCAGAGTCAATGGCTTTCGTATCCATTGCACGTGGTCGTGTGTGTGTGTATGTGTGTGTGTGTGCCCCTGCCCTCTTCTGGCTCACCCACAAATGGGAGAAACGTCCCTAGTGATGTAAAAGCCAGAGATTCTCGTTTAGCTCCAGTGTCAGCGACATGTAGTTTTTGTGAAGTGGAGGGCCTGAGTGTTAGTGCCTGGGGGTTCATTGGTGACCAAGACTAACATTGCATGTGGCCATAGATCTCTTGGAGCCTCTGCACGCCGGATTTCCTGTAAGTTCTCCCTGTTATCACTGCCAGGAGCAGCGGCTGTAACGCGCTGGCTGCATTGTCTGAGCACAGGATAACAGCCGCTGCATTCCATGAGGCTCCTCATCAAGGATCTCTGTTACCCCTAGTCCAGCCATAGTTAGCCACTCTTTTGGTGGCTCATGCATCCTTAGTGCCAGGGGCTGCCTACAAAAGTGATTCTGCTATTCTCCGAGCCCTCCCTCAGGGAAGAATTGGAGAGGGAGACAGTGTGGCCCGGTAGATAAGGCACTGCTCTGGGAGTCAGGAGCCTTGCTCTCGAATACCAGCTCTGTCACTGTGTTCGTCCCACTCCCACCCTTGGTCTGTCTTGTCTATTTAGACTATAAGCTTTTCGGGGCAGTGATTCCCTCTTACTCTACAGCACCTAGCCCAGTGGGCCCTGATCTCAATCGGAGCTGCTCGGTGCACCATAGTACTGCTACTAGTAACGAGAGCAACTCCCCATCTCTTATCTCCTCCTCCCTTCCCGCAAGATCAGGAATGCCTCTTGCCACAGATTGTCCTCAATTCTTTAGTGCCCTCAATTCCTGGAAGTTGCTGCTACCAAATGGTTCTCTTGTGTGCAACAGTGAGTCCTGTGGTTGCTATGTTGCTCTGCTGATTTCCTTTCCAACGGTCTGTTGCGTGGAAGAGAACAAGTGGAAACCTGGCTTGGCACTGAGTTTTTCTTCTCTGGTCTGTTTGATGTCCCAAGGGCACGGGAGCAGGGCTAGTCCTAAATGCGAATGAGGCAGTTATGGTTGCACTGGGGCAGCTCGTTATGTGAGTGGAGTGGGTTTGGGGGTGGGGTGACTTTATGCATTTATTTATTGGAAATAAACCTGTCTCTGAGCTCCAGCATTTTTGCATGCTCTGCAGAGAGGTGAGTGAGGAAGGGCCCTGTGCAGTACAGCCAGTGGGAGGGAGACGAAGAATTGAGCATGGGAGGTGTGGGGAGCCATTACATGGGGTCAGTATTTTTGACATTGAATTTTGCGCTGGATGAGGCGAAAGTTTTGTTGCATGTTTCACACTGAGCAGCCACAAAGCAAATTGTTGGGTTTTTTTTCATCGGGCCATCATGGGCTCCTGCCCTCCCAGCCTGCCTTGCTCCTGCTATAGATCGGCAGGCGGGACCGTGGGCCCTCGGAAGTGCGATATCGCAGGAACACATCACACTGATGCCACCATCTGTTCCTGAACCTCGGAACTGGGCTCCCTGGAGAAATGACGACACCAGCCAGTTTACACCGGCATTGAGAAATGCCAAACGACGCTGAATTAGCTTTCAGAAACTAGAGCCAAGCAAACCAACACAGAGAGAGCGAGCTGCTCTGAGTGTACCTGGCCTCTCCAGTGATTGTGAGGGCGGGGGGTGGCTCTCTCATCTCTACCCTTCTACCTCCTCGGGCTGATGGATCCTCGGCAGAGGAAGGGGATGTGGCGGCGGGGAAGATTGATGGGGGGGTTGCAGATTTTGCTAGCTTCCCTTTACATACCAGCGAGGGGCCTGGTGTGTTTCCAGAGCTTGACCACACCCACCTTCCCGTGTCTCTCCTGCCTGCCTGCTATAATCCTCCCTCCTTGGGGACATACGCAGACAACAGGGAGAGGTGCTGGACCACTAAACCTTGACTTCTTTGAGGGGGTCAACAAGCATGTGGAGCAAGGGGATCCAGTGGCTATAGTGTACTTAGATTTTCAGAAAGCCTTTGACAAGGTCCCTCACCAAAGACTCTTATGCAGTGGTTCTCAAACTTTTGTACTGGTGACCCCTTTCACATAGCAAGCCTCTGTGTGTGACCCCCACCTTATAAATTAAAAACACTTTTTTACATATTTAACACCATTATAAATGCTGGAGGCAAAGCGGGGGTTGGGGTGGAGGTTGACAGCTCGTGACCCCCCATGTAATAACCTTGTGACCTCCTGAGGGGTCCCAACTGCCAGTTTGAGAACCCCTGCTCTTACGCAAAGTAAGCTGTCATGGGATAAGAGGGAAGGTGCTCTTATGGATTGGTAACTGGTTAAAAGATAGGGTAGAAAATATCATGTTGCCTCTATATAAATCCATGGTATGCCCACATCTTGAATACTGTGTGCAGATGTGGTTGCCCCATCCCAAAAAAGATATATTGGAATTGGAAAAGATTCAGAAAAGGGCAACAAAAATGATTAGGGGTATGGAACGGCTTCCGTATGAGGAGAGATTAATAAGACTGAGACTTTTCAGCTTGGAAAAGAGACGTCTGAGGGGAGATATGATTGAGGTCTATAAAATCATGACTGGTGTAGAGAAAGTAGATAAGGACGTATTGTTTACTACTTCTCATAAGAGAAGAACTAGGGGTCACCAAATGAAATTAATAGGCAGCAGGTTTAAAACAAATAAAAGAAAGTATTTCTTCATACAATGCAGAGTCAACCTGTGGAACTCCTTGCCAGAGGATGTTGTGAAGGCCAAGACTATAACAGGGTTCAAAAAAGAACTAGATAAATTCACGGAGGATAAATGCATCAATGGCTATTAGCCAGGAGGCGCAGGGATGGTGTCCCTAGCCTCTGTTTGCCAGAAGCTGGGAATGGGCGACAGGGGATGGATCACTTGATGATTCCTTGTTCTGTTCATTACCTCTGGGGCACCTGGCACTGGCCACTGTGGGAAGACAGAATACTGGGCTAGATGGACCCTGGGTCTGACCCGGTAGGGCCATTCTTAAGTTCTTATGACTTTTATTGGAAGTCCTCAGGAGCAGCTGCTGCTGCCCTGCTCCCATACAAACTGCGCTCTGTGCTCCCAGCCCATCAGAGCGCAAGGTAAGGGGAACACCTGTGAGGGCAGCGCCCCCAGCCCCTGCAGCTGTGTGTTAACTGAACTACAGAGTTGTTTGGGTGCGTCATGGGGCTGGAGAAGCAAGTGTTGCTATCCCCGGGTTGTTCAGAAGAGATGCAAAGGCAGGGATTTGGGGCTGTTCCTTACATAGGACATTAGCCAGGAGTTGTTAATGTTAGAGATGGCATAGACTGGGGCAGGGGCAGGGACTGTCTCTTTATTCCCTTTGCGTACAGCGCCTAGCACAATGGGGTTATGGGCCATTTGCTACGATAATTCAGATAATAAATCAGTGTTCTGCATTGCAAGGCCCGCGAGCCAGTGGCGGCTCCCATCGACCCTAAGTGCGCTAAGTTCCCTCTAAGCTGCGCGGCCACGGAGCTGGCTATAACTAGCTGTGCAGCAGCTCTAAAGAGCCATGCGGCAGGGACCTGAAGAGGAGAGAGGTAGGGGGTGGGCGGGAACTGGAGAAGGGAGCAAGTTGGGGCTTGCAGGGCTGCTGTGGGCCTCTCCCCGGGACCGGAACTCCCTGCTGTCGGCAAGGGGGAGAGAGGGCCCTTCTCCGGAGCTCCCTGCTCCCTCCCTGTCGGCCTTCCTGCTGGGGGGAGTCCTCTGGCCCCAGCCCTGGGGCAGCCTGCCTGCACCCCAAACTGCTCATGCCTGGCCCCACCCTAGAGCCTGAACCCCCAGCCAGAGCTCTCCCCCCGCATCCCAACCCTCTGCCCCAGCCCTGAGCCCCTCCCACACCCCAAACCCCTCATCCACAGCTCCACCCCAGACCCCTCAGCCCCAGCCAGAGCCCTCACCCCCCACCCCGCCCTACCCTGGGCCACCTTCCACAGTCCGAACCCCTCGGCCCCATCCGGCTCTCACATTGAAGGTTTTTTCCCAAAGTGGCCCCCACTTCAAAGATAGTGAAGAGCACTGTAGTAAATAATAACATATAACAATTTGCTTAATCTAGATAAAAATACCCAAAATGCTGGGGCTTCCACCACTTTTTAGGGAAACTTTCCTGGCAAATAGCCCTGCCTGGAGTGCCTGCCTGCCCACTCCCTAAATGTAGCTGTGTTACAGGTTGTCCCTCTGTGCCCGATCTCTGTGGGTTGGTCCGCCCCAGCAGTGGAGTCTGTGCTCATTAGCAAAAGCTCCAGCGTTTATCTCTGCAGGTCCCTGTCTGATCGTTGGGGTCAGCCGAGATGGTGGCCTCACACAAGGATAATCTGGGGTGGTCCCTAAAAGCAAGGACTTGTCTGAGCAGGGGTTAGGTTGCCCAGACTGTTGCTATGACTCGTATGGCCGTACTGGTGGTGGTGGTGGTGGTGGTGGGGGGGGGGGGCGAGGGGGGGGGGGGGGGGGGTTGGTGGCTGCATCAAAGCATGGGCAGAAAGAGGTGCATAAAAGGGTGTTCACCTTGTCCTGGTTAACCAGCTGCGTCCCCTACTTCCCCCCGCCAGGCCCCCAGAGAGTACGAGACCAGCCCTGAGCAACTCTTCTACCGCATCACCCACCTCAACCGCGGGCAGCAGTACATGCTGTGGGTGGCGGCCGTGACCTCGGCGGGTTGCGGCAACATCAGTGAAAAGGTCACCATTGAGCCTGCTGGGAAAGGTGCGGCAGGGCCTGTGGGGTGGGGTGGGCAGATGGGGTGGGGCAGGGGGGCAGTGGGGCTGATTGGAGGGGAGCTGGGTCTCTCTCTGGGTAACAGAGTCCTGGGGGGAGGGGCAAGGTCATCTGGCATTTAGATTGGGCTCAGTGTAGAGCCTGGGGGGCCCACTGCACACTCTGGATCCAGGCTCGGGTTTGACACGTGCCCTGGTGCTGGCTCTGGGTTGGCCCCTCGTCTCCAGGACTCGCCGTAGCCAGCACCTCGCGATGCGCCGGCTACTCCGACTGCCGTTGGCTTGGAGCAGGTTCTGCGGCATGGACAAAGGTGGTGAATCTCAGCCCCTGGTGCAGCAGGGTGGGGTCTGCACTGGTGGGATAGGCAGGCTCTGTGTGCGTGGCTCGTCCAGCCAGACTGATGTTCCCTTCCCCCCACAGCCCCAGCCAAGATCATTTCCTTTGGCGGCACTGTCACCACTCCGTGGATGAAGGACGTGAGGCTGCCATGCAGTTCGGTTGGGGAGCCGGCCCTTGCCATTAAATGGACAAAGGACAGGTAACTAAAGCCTACCTTTTCCCCACCGTGCAGCCTCTCGGGAGGAGCCCTGATCCTGTGGCAGGGAGGTGGCAAAAGCGAAAAGCTCCAGAGGTCCTTTTTCCTGGAGGAGCTGACCTTTTGTTTGGGGGCTCTGCCTGGCCTTTGGCCTGTGGAATGGAAGAGTGGCCAGGCAGCGCTACATGCCATCTGGGCAGCTCTTGGGCTCCTGGGGCAACACGCTCTGGAGCCCCATCTATGTGCTGGGAGCTTCTTGCTGCTGGGAGGCGCGAGTAGGGATTTATGCTGATGAGCTGCTGGCATTTCTTGTTCCTTGCAGTGAAGATTCTGCCATCCCGGTGCCGGTGGACGGGCACCGGCTGATCCAGGCCAACGGCACAGTGGTCCTGCGCTCAGTGAAAGCAGAGGATTCTGGGTATTACGCCTGCACCACCACCAACACCTGGGGCTTTGATACCATCATCAACCTGCTGGTGCAAGGTAAGGGCTGTGCCAGCCTGGCGTGCTCTGCCCTGCTCTGCCTTTGCCCATCCTTACAAATCTGCTTGTTGCTGGAAATGGCTGGACAGAGATTTTATGCAGATGCATCTCGGCCACTGGGGTTGTTCATACAGCTCATCAGAGCTTGGAATTAGTTGTTGGAGCTCTGTGATTGGCCACTTAAGTCACATGCAGTTGTTTCAGTTCCCCGATGGGGCAGCCTTCCCTTTTATATAAACTACTGTTGCCTGAAGCCAATCGCACTTTGTCATGAGTCAAGTTTTGTTTTACAATTAAATGAGTTTTGTCCATGGGCCTGAGAATTGCTTTCCACAAGCCCATCCAAACACCGCTTCACCCAGGGGCTGGGGGTGGACTGCCATGTGTGAGCAGCTGGGTCTGCTTCGCCACTGGGGCTGCAAAGCCAGATGGAGGCAGATGGTCTCAAAGAGGGAAGGGCTAGTGGCTTTGGAGCTCCGGATGCTAGCACATTAGGGCTTAGCTTCTGGAGATCCGGATTGGCCTTCTGAGGATTAATGATGAGTCTGTTACGCAACGTGCAATGGCGTGCGTCCTTGTTTCAAAGGAGACCCTTGTGTGGCTCCCCTGGTGCTCAGTTGCTGCTAGAGAAGAAGGCTGGAGATGCCTGGCTCCCTGAGGGCTATGCTGGCCCTGGAGCCGGACCCCCACGCAGGTGGCTCTTGAGGTCTGTGAGCGGTTGAAGGGCGGCAGGGAACTGAGAAGCAGCCACAGCCCTGGGACACCAACCAGCACAAGGACAAAATAGGGGAGCGTTGTGGCTGCCCACATCATTGCTCCACCTAGCGCAGCAGTCGTCCCACCCTGCCTGGCTCTGGCTTCCAGCTTGTGGCCTCTGAGCTGGTGAAGGGCTGGAGCCTCTGAGGTGGGACTTGCACTTCAGTGAGGAAGAGCCACAGAGAGGGGCAAGGCCTGGTGGTGGAGGGTGGGGATGCAGCTGCCACAAGTTTCTGTCTACCCCACCTCAGCTCCCGCCATGAGTAAGGGGTTGGTGCTGACCCTGCTGACTACAGGCTGTCACCGCTTCTCCAGGGCAGATGCACTCTGCGCATTTCCTCATCTGGCCACCGAGTGTCATTGCAGCGCTGTGGAGGGAAATGGTTTCTGTGTTACCCGGAGTGGCCACATAGTGTCACTGTTGCTACACGAGGAAAATGCTTTGTGCTTTGTCGCGAGTGGCCACCAAGCGTCACTGCTGCTGCATGGGGGACATGCTCTGTGCATTGCCGTGATTGGCCACCGGATGTCACTGTTGCTCCAGGGCAGCTGCATTCTGAGAAATACCCCAGGTGGCCTCTAAGATAAATGTGTGGTAAAGGCTGAGTACAGATGGCTGCTTCCCTTTAGGTGGGGCTCGGTTTGTAATAAAAGTTTTCCTCCTTGTTCTGGGTGCAGAGGGAGAATTTCCCTATCTTGGGAGCAGCTGATCTTCCAGGACAGGGAGGAGCATGTTCACCTGAGCAGAGGCCTGGAACCAGAAAGGTGACTACTGGTGCTGAGTTTGTCCTTCTTCCTATGTGCGTGTCTGTCTGTCTGTCTCTCTCTCTCTCTCTCTCTCTGAGTTCTCATATGTTTGCCAACATGCGTGTCTCTCTCTCTCTCTCTCCTTGTACTGACTCCTTGCATAGAACATGGGCAATGGTGCATGCTCACAGGCTTGGTCTGGAGAGTCTGCATCCCACTGGGGCATTGGGAGGGGGAAGAGAATCACGATGGATACTAGATCCTCCATTGGTAGTGGTGAGGTGACTGTGGGAGTTGACTGTCACTGTTCATCAAGTGGGGCTGATCTACAGCGGATGGGAGAGGGAGGGCAGTATCTCATACACCAATAGAACTTTGGGCAGTGATGGCTCCTGCTTGGGTTATATGCTGTGTTTGTGGAGGGATCATCCAGGAGCCCCAGCCAGAGGAGAAGCTAGAAGAAGAGGATCTGAGCAGCCTGGACATCCTTGTAAGCAGAGATGAACAGTCCTCCGCTTTCTGTCTTCTCCATGATTGGCTGTGAGTGAACAATTATGGCACTCTATTCCTCATCTGTACCACTCTAGTTTTCTGGGCTCTGTGGTATTAGGGCTGGGGAGGGGCCAGAGTCTGCTGTGCAGAGTGACTATGTCAGGTGCCGTTGCCAGTGGTGCTTTTTGGTTGTAATGCTAAAGGTGTAATGGGAAGAGGGTTGAGGGCGGAGCCCCGCCATGCAGGAGAGGCGAAAAGAAGAGCCTATGAGACGTTGCTGACTGAGATGGTAACTGATTTGTTTTCCCCCCTTGGGCTGGGTTTACTACCAAAGGAGAAGTCACCACGCGTGAGAATCCACTGCCCTCATGTGATGGAAAGCGAGTGAGAGTGACGAGATCGTGAGCATTGTTGATGCCATGCAAAAGCCGTCCATCGTGGAGCTCAACAGTCACCACTGTCAGTGAGATAAGTGTCTGATTTGGTGATTGGTCTGTTCATGGCCCATCTGGCTCTATGTAGGGACACCCCCTTAGCCGGGGCTGGGTTTGTAAGAAAATGTTCTTGACTAGCTGTGGTTACGAGGGAGACAAGGTCCCCAAATTCAGGGGCTGATAATTTCTCTGGCCAAGAGCAATATGTCCTCCGCAGCAGAAGGTTAGATCTAGGTGGATGACTCCAGGTGGTCAGTTGCTTGCTTGTGATTTTCTCTCTCTCTCTCCCCGTCCAGTATGTTGACCAACACCCCCCCCCCCC